TGCTGAATGATGTTGCGTCGATATTTGCATAAACAGAAACCAAAAACCCGATGTGAAAGGAACAGGGTGGCCTTGGGGTGGGGTTTTAGCTTTCGTGCGACGCGCCGTGGACGACCCCCTTGGGTCGAGGCGCGGCGCTTCAGTTGGCAAACCCTAAACCCTAAACCCTAAAGCCCTAAAGCCCTAAACCCTAAAGTTTTAAAACCCTAAACCTTAAACCCTAAAACCCTAAACCCGAAACCCCTTAACCCTAATCCCTAAAACCCTAAAGCCTTAAAGCCCTAAACCCGAAACCCCTAAAGCCCTAAAGCCCTAAAACCCTAAAACCCTAAACCCATAAACCCTAAAACCCCTAAAACTCTAAACCGTAAACCCTAAAACCCTAAAACCCTAAAGCCCTAAACCCTTTAACCCTCGGCCAGGTCTCCCGTCTCCGAGCGCAGGCGGCGGAGAAGGACCGACGCCGCCTCCAGGCTTCGGGTTCTTGGGCTTTTGGGGTTCTAGGGTTTTGGGGCTTGGTTCGGGTTTTTAGAGTTTGGGGGTTTTACGGATTTTTTTAGTTTTGTTTGTGGTGTTTAGGGTTTCAGGCTTTAGGGTGCTAGGATTTAGAAGAGGTTTGAATAACTAGTGATAATGCATCCTTTTTCCCCTATCAAATTACGTCAGTACAGGTAGATCTCTAAATTAAAGTGCACGTCTTGGCCAGAAGCCCTAAACCCTAAACCCTAAACCCTAAACCCTAAACCCTCTTAAACCGTACCTGAAAAATCCCAGATATAGGGTCCCCGAAAAGCAGATGCACTCTTCAGGGAAGGAATACTTAGCTGAATTTCTTAGCTTCGCTCTGGTGCCTCTTAATCTTATGGTTTAGGTTATAAGGGTTCGGGCTTACGTTAGGTCTAGGACATTTTCAGGCGTGTAGTTACCGTTATAGGAGCTTTATAGAAGGCCTATATACCTTATGGAAGCCTGAAAGAACCCCTAAATACCCTAAACTCCCCACCTGCAGTTTCCTTTAAGTAGGGCTTAGGGTTTAGACCAGTCTTGGGTTCTCTCTGCTTCGTGCCCCTAGGAGTACGAAGCGTCCCAGCTTGAGAAACAGATCCGCCGCCTCGAGCGCAAGATCGCTGCCCGGAGCTCCAGGCAGACTTCCCTCAAACCCTGAACCCTGCAGTTCGTTCGTCACAGTAGGGCCCTATAAAAGTCTGCAGCTTTTGGGATTCCTTAATTCTTAGGGTTTAGGGTTTAGAAGCGAGTTTAGAAGGGCATTACATGGCCCGGAATAACCAGTCCTTATGGTATAATATTAATATACCACCAAATCCTGTGTTAACCATTGAGGCCGCCTTGTCACATCGTAGGTAACAAGCAAAACAGAAGTGGAAAGATGGCTGCCTGGGGTTTAGGAGTTTAGGGTTTAGGGTTACCTATGTATCTATCTGCCTGTCTACCAACCTGCCTATCTACCTATGTATCCATCCATCCATGCCTCTTTCGGTGCGAGTACATATACGGGTACACAAATGAACAAACGCGAGCTCATATCCAACAAAGCATTACTCTCAAAAAGCAAGTAAGCCAGCAAATGCACAGAGACACATACAGTCTTATCCCTAAACCCTAAACCCTAAACTCTAAACCCTAAGCCCTGCCTAAGCCCTAAACACTAAGCCCTAAACCTCCAAGCTCTTCAGGTTTTCGGGCTCCTTTGGCAAAGTAGCAAAGCGTTTCTCCCGAGGCTTTGGAAAGCCCGAGCGCTTCCTGCGTGTCGCGAGGCGCCGGAGGGTCTGTGGTTCTGCTCCCGAGGATGCTTTACGGTTTCCTGGGGTTTAGGGTTGAGGGTTTAGGGTTGAGGGTTTAGGGTTTAGGGTTGAGGGTTTAGGGTTTAGGCTTGAGGGTTTATGCTTTAGGGTTGAGGGTTTAGGGTTCAGGGTGTAGGGGTTTAAGGTTTTCCGTACTTACAGGATCAGGTAGGGCTCCTATCAGGAGAACGACACGCTGAATTAAGTCTAACCCTGGTTGAAGATTGAAGATATTAGTTATAACCCTTCTTGCTAGGTCCGCAATTCTTTTCAGTCGTCGTCGTCGTCGTCGTCGTAGTAGTAGTAGTAGTAGTAGTAGTCGTAGTAGTAGTCGTAGTAGTAGTAGAATTGGTGATAGTAGAATGTAGGGTTTCGGGTTTGGGATTTAGGGCTTGGGGTTAAGGGTTTAGGATTTAGGGTTTCGTGCTTAGGGGGTTTAGGAATTAGGGTTACGGGTTGCTCAATCACTTACCCCCCCCCAAAGAAAGTGTAAACCAAACTCCCAAAAAGCATGCCGAGCGTTGGTTCAATGATGGTTTAGTGAAAGTCCTTCTCTTAAGGATTTCATAGGGGTCCTACAGGGGTTTCTTGGCTTTTTCGAGGGGTCTGAGGGTTTGGGTTTAGGGCTGACGATTAAGGCGGTTAAGGGCTAGGTCTTCCGGGTTCGGTGTCGGGTTAGGTGGTGCAGGTTTTTGAGATTAGGGGTGATTCGGGGTAGTGTTTCGGTGGTTTTTGTTTCGAGGTTTCAGGGTTTAGGGTCAGAGGGCTTCTTGTTCGACAATGCGGCTGTTGGGTCAGGCTTTCTGAACACTGGCAGCAAAGCCGCATCGGCTGCAGACAAGGTCGAGACAGAGGGTGCTTGTTTTTTGTACCGTACAGACCACATCTCCTAATAACCCTAAACCCCAAGCCCGAAACAATAAACCCTAAACCCCTAAAGCCTAAACCTATAAAGAAGTAGAAAGTCTGCCTTGAGAACTTTTTGGAGTTTGGCTCCGGGCTCAGATTTGGATGTGCAGACATGATTCAATGTTCTAAATGGGTGGTTGTCAAAATTATGGTCCCTTTTTCGGTCCTTATTATAATACCACACCTATTATTTAGGGTGCCCCAAAAGGGACCCTAATATTGACAACTACCCAAATAGGGTCAGGGGACTTGGTCGTAAGTCTACAGCACGGGCAGCGACATTGACACTTGCTGGTGACCTTAAGCACGGTTCTTAAGCAACTATACTCATAACTGCCCGTAAAGACCGCGAAGCAAATCTGTCTTCGACCTGTAATCCTAATACAAACCCACAGTATGCTCTACAGTCATAGTTATAATTTCTGAAACTCGAATGAGGCCTTAAGACACATGTAGGGGTCGAAACGGAGATGTACTATCCTCAATCTGGAATACTCCACTCCAAACATCTATTCTAATTGGTCACGCCCTTGCCAGAGACTCCAATATCCCTTAAATAAGGAATACACCGTAAGTCATATTAGGGATCCTACTATAATTTAAGGTATATTCCTTAATTAAGGGATATTGGAGTCTCTGGGTTTGTGAAGCCTTGTTCAACTTAAAAAGGCTTCCTGGGGATCTTTGGCCTCCAGGGTTTTGGGGGTGGGAGGGCCATGGGCACGACCAGGAGGGGCACCCTTTCGGCACAACCCAACTGGGGTTTAGGGTTTCGGGGTTAGGGGAGCCTCCGAGAAGCAGTAGCAGGAAAGAGCCTCCTAGAAGAGACTAAATCTGCTACATCTACGGCACTTCTGACCCTGCGTTCCTGAAGCCCCGAACTCAAATGCCAAAACCCCGAACTCGCTGTCGATCTCCAGGCAGCCCCGACGCCTGCCAACCCGGCCGCCGCAAAGCCTGCGCAGCCGCGTCGGAGCCCTCAGCCTTCCGCGGTAAATCCCTCGCCATTTTTCGGGTCTTTTAACCAGGTGTTTAGGTTTTTTTTTGGGACAAAACCCTTTCTGACTGCTACCTATAGTAGTTCCTTTTGCTTACCTTCTAGAACCCTAAATATAGAAGTGGATAAACCAAGGAACTACAATGGATACTAAAGGCCCTTGTGCTAGTGAGCGAGCAAGCTGGTTAAGAGACCCCTGGCTTTTTCGGTTCGACGGTGATGTGTCGCCGTTGCCACCGCCGCGGCGCTGCCTGTTGCTTTTGATGGTAATCGTGACGGTCATCTTGACGACCATGGTATTGGGTAAAAATAGGGCCCTTCACGGTTGAGGGTTGAGAGTTTGGGGTTGAGGGTTGAGGGTTGAAGGTTTGAGGGCGTGAGATTGAGGGTTCACGGTCTAGGGCCGTTTCGGACACCGATCGCCAATCCCTCAACCGTAAGCCTCAAACCCCGAACCCTGAAGCCTACCCTAAGCCACATTAGCCAGAAATCCTCAACCCGCTCATCCCTGAAACCTCCATGTTGCCTGAAGCCTGAACCCTACTCCCCTACGGCTCGCCTGCAGTCCTCAAGCCCTATAACCCCGCAACCCTAAACCCGAAGCCCGAAGCCCTAAACCCGCAACCCAGGTGCCGGCGCTATCATCGATTCCACAGGGCGGGAGGTGAACCCGCTGACGTTCTGGGGAGAGGAGAAGGCGAGGGCCCGGGCAAGGCCGCTGTCTTTTTTTGGGGCTTCGCTAATACATGCTGGGGTTTGATGGAGTCTTTGGGGCTTCGGTGTACCCTGTTCTGTAGGTCTTGGGTAGGTCGCATCTTAGAGGATTTGTTGGGTTCTTCCATGTTTCTGAGAGGTGTTTGTGAGGTTCAGGGCCCCCTCTTCTCACTGGCCTCTAACGATCCATAGAATATTTCCAGGTGCAGGGCCAACAAGTCTCCTTTGAAGGAGCGGGTGTGGTGGCGGTTCCTTTATAAGGGTAATATAGGGGCCTATTTTAAGGGTTCCATATTCTAATCTTCATATAATATGTCCCAAAGCCCCATTCTAATTATCCCTCTAGTATTGGGGTTTGGGGTTCAGGGTATGTTTGACGTTTGGGCCTTCCGGGTGCCGCTGCAGCTTTAGGCTGGGAGGAGTTGAGGTGTGCAGGCTTCGGGGTGTGAGAGTCTAGGTGTTAGCTTTCGCGTTTGGCATGAGGTTTACGGCTTTTGGACCAGGGTTCAGGGTTTAGGGTTTAGGGTTTTTGGACCAGGGTTTAGGGCTTCGGAGTTGCAGTTCAAGGGGTTGCCCTCGACCGGATTTGATGTAATTGCGCTCCTTCGGCAGGTGATCTTGACTGGCTTTGGGAGAAGGGTCGGATCTTAAGGAGCGCTGCACTTTAGAGATGTGAACCCAAAGACTCCAATATCCCTTAATTAAGGAAAGGAATATACCTTAAATCGTATTAGGGATCCTACTATAATTCAAGGTACATTCCTTAATTAAGGGATATTGGAGTGCTTAGGGTTCCCTAAGATGTTTAGAGCATAGAAGCTCCTCAAGTTCCTGGTCTAGTTTTTCCGGTCTCTACATGGGCAGAGGACTTTGAGCTCTTTCCCTGTAGCCCCCTTTTAGTCTTATACTGCAGCTCACTGGGAGCGCAGATTCATGACAGGCCCGAGAACACCCTAAACCCTAAACCGAGCATCGAAAACGCTAAGCCCCGGAGCCGTGAACAGTGCCCTGGGCTGCCGTTCGGAATCTTTTCCAGCTTTTGTTGCAACATGAACCCGAGGGTCATCAAGAATACTGTAGAACAGTGCTTGTATAAGAATTATGAGTTCAAGTGGCTTATAGTGCCAAGCCCTCAACCTGAGCGAACCCCACGACTTTTAGTTTTTTTTTTTTGGGGGGGGGAGTTCGCGTTCAAGTAGGTACATGGGAGGATCACCCTACAATAGCTCGAAAGGTTAAACCCCGAAAACCCTTAGCTGATTAAGAAACCCTGGCCCTATAACCCCAGCAGATTGGGCAATCATTCGGGTTCACATTGAGCACCCCAACGCAGACCCAGGGTTTCTTTGTCAGGTTCCTTTTCAAAGGGACCCCTTAGAGGCCTAAAGGAGCCTTTGAAGGAACCCTTGCAACGCTGCCCTCATCGCCCAGGAGCAGTCCAACCTTCTCTTGCGGGATGCTGGCGCTGAGGCTCGGCCCCAGACTGGATTTCAGGTGAAGAGAATGGGTAGTTCTCTTTAGGGCTTTAGGGTCCCATATCAAGGGTTTAGGGTTTGGGGTTTAGGGAGTTCTCTGTAGGGTCCCATATCAAGGGTTTAGGGTTTAGGGAGGTCTCTTTAGGGTCCTATTTCAAGGGTCCAGTACTACTTAGGGGGACCTAAAGAGGGGCCCCAGCCAGGTTGCGTTGAGTTGAGGTACAGGTACTTGGGAGGCTGCTAAGACGTAGGGCGTGAGCTTATAGTCCCGTATCGCGAGGGTAGGGCGTGAACTTATAGTCCCGTATCGCAAGGCTATACTACGCCCCGCAGCCCATTGAAATGAGTAAGGCCTCCCCAGAGAGCCCCAATACCCCTTAAGTAAGGAATAGACGATAAATTCTAGGGGCCTTAACATTATAATATTCTGATTTAAGGTATATTCCTTAATTAAGGGGTATTGGGCTCTGTGGGCTTATGTTACTAGAGAGGCGCCGGTCGGACGTAGGTCTTTCGGAATCTGGTTTCAGGGAGGACGCTTGTGGCGAAACAGCCCAGCGACCCTAAAGTTTAATTAAGGAACATAATCCCCTAAGCCCGTAATCCTAAGCCCTAAGTTAGCTTAAACTTAATGAAGGAATATCCCTTACATCTACATCAAGCAACGGATCCCCCCCTGTAATTTAAGGTGCCGGATCGCACCCCTCCGAAGCCTGTGGGACGATTGTTGCGCTCAGCCACAGACGGAGACCCCGCAAGTCAAACCACCCCCAACTCGGCAGTGATACTGTAACCATGTAGTTACAATGAGTGTCTACCTTGTATCTATCTGTCCATCTATGTATCTATGTATCTATCTATCTGTCTATCTATCTGTCTATCTATCTGCTTGTATGCCTATCTATCTGTCTATACATCGATCTATTTATCTATCATCTATCTACCTATATGCCCATGTATCTACCTATCTATCTATCTATCTATCTATCTATCTGTCTATCTGTCTATCTGTCCATCTGTCCATCTATCTATCTATCTATCTACCTATCTATCTATCTATCTATCTATCTATCTTTATCTATCTATCTTTATCTATCTATCTATCTATCTATCTATCTTTCTATCTCCCTCTCTCTATCTATCTATCTATCTATCTATCTATCTATCTGTCTATCCATCTGCTTGTATGCCTATCTATCTGTCTATACATCGATCTATTTATCTATCATCTATCTACTTATATGCCCATGTATCTACCTACTATCTATCTGTCTATCTATCTATCTGTCCATCTATCTATCTATCTATCTATCTATACCTACCTATCTATCTATCTATCTATCTATCTACGTATCTGTCTAATCTACCTATCTATCTATCTATCTATCTACCTATCTATCTATCTATCCATCTACCTATCTATCTATCTATCTATCTATCTATATACTATCCATCTATCTAACTGTCTATCTACCTATCTATCTGTCGTTCTATCTATCTATCTATCTATCTACCTATCGATCTATCTATCTGTCTATCTATCTTTCTATCTACCTATCTATCTATCTATCTATCTATCTTTATCTATCTTTATCTATCTATCTATCTATCTATCTATCTATCTATCTATCTCTCTCTTTATCTATCTATCTATCTATCTATCTATCTATCTATCTATATCTCTCTCTCTATCTATCTATCTATCTATCTACCTTATCTATCTATCTATCTATCTATCTATCTATCTATCTCTCTATCTCTCTATCTCTCTATCTGGCTATCTCTCTATCTTTCTATCTCTCTATCTCTCTATCTCTCTATCTCTCTCTCTCTCTATCTATCTATCCATCTATCTATCCATCTATCTACCTATCTATCTATGTATCTATTTATCTATCGGTATTTTGCAATACCGGTATACCCAAAGCCATGTTCTAATTATTAAGGGCACTTGCTATACTCTCATCTGCAAGCATCATCATAAAGACCTGAACTTGTACTCTAAACTTCGAGCCCCCGGCCCTGCACCCTGATCCTGTAAGAACTCTATCCACCTTGAGCTGACTCTTCAACAACCCATACGAAACCCTTCCACACCTCTTAAGCCCCAAAGCCTTTCTAGACCCGCTATAAAGCCTTCATGGAACCCTGAACCCTAATTCTAACGGCATTATAAACCCCAAACCCTGAACCCAAAGCCCTTCCCCCAAGGCCTCCCTGATGGCGGCGATGCGTTCGCCACCGGAGACCAACGATGCGCCCGGGGGCCTAGATGTTAGGATTTAGGGTTTAGGGTTTTGTGCTTCCCAGAGAGGTCCAGACAACACTCTGAGTTTGGTGTTTCCAAGGCTTTGTAGTGTCGTTTAGGGTTTAGGAAGAACTGAAACTGCTCTTTATTTCAGCTTCTGAAGGTCTTCTTATTTTTTTTGGTGAAATGGGAGCTCGACTCTGGCTTTTGTTTGGAAGGCCTCTACAAGAACTCTGCAAAGCCCTTGTTAAAAGGCACGCCTCCGTTGTGGGCGATTAGGTCTACGTTGCCGAGACCTGATGGGGTTTAGGGGACAGGGTAGAGGGCCCAGTTTGGGGTTTAGGGTTTGGGGTTTAGGGTTTGGGGTTTAGGGTTTAGGGCTTAGGGTTTAGGGTTTAGGGTTTGGGGTTTAGGGGATAAGGTATATTGGGCTTTGCGGTGTACAGTTTAGGGTGTTGAGTTTAGGATCCAGGAATGCCATTCTTGTGGAACTTGCCGTAATTGACTGGAGGTTCATGGGTGGTGATAAGCGTATGGTTGTGTTTACTTACCTTTGCGAAGACGCTACTTACTAAGTCCCTGGTCCTTTGATGGAAGGAAGTCTCTGTGTTCAGGATCCGTCGGGTTTCCAGCTCGGCCGTCCTCCATTCCCAAAGAATCCAAGAAGCGCGGTCCCTGGTGGTCTCAGTGGTCTTCTCGCTACTCCTGGTGGTCGTTGGTCGTCATGGTCGCCGTGATGGTCAGTTTTTTTCTGTGGGGGTTTCAAGGGGTTTCTGGGGTTCAGGGTTCAGGGTTTGGGTTGAAGCTGGTATGTCAGAACATAGAGTCTGAAGAGTCTGAAGCACAACTCCTACATGAATGGCCGCAAAGACACACAGGTTCGACACCGCCAAGTACTCGCAGCTGTTAGGCGCGGTCTGATGGGATGAAAGAGAACTGGGGTGCAGCTACTCTGGTTGAGAGCTGATGTGTAGTTACCGGAACGGTTGTAAGTACCTTAATTGGGGTTATAAACCGCTATGTGTATATATATATATATATATATGTGTAGACATAAACGCGTATATGGATGTGCGTAGCTACACGCATTATTCCCAGGCTTACCGTCTCTTGATCTTTTCGATACAGCAGAAGGTGACGGTTTCAGGGTCTAGGGCTAGATTTTGTATCGTTTCAGACACGACCGTAGTTGTTCTATACTGTGTATACTGTGACCCTACCCTGAACCCTGGACCCTGCGCCCAAAGTGCACTTAAGAGCCCCCTAAACCCTAAACCTTAAACCCTAAATCCCTAAACCCTGAACCTTCTACCCGAAATCCGAAACGGCCCGGGTCCAGAGGAGGAGTCCCAAGGAGATCTGCGCCATTTCAGGTTTTGTGGTTCCCAGAGACTCCAATACCCTTTAATTAAGGAACATACCTTAAATCATAGTAGGATCCCTAATATGATTTAAGGTATATTCCTTAATTAAGGGATATTGGAGTCTCTGGGGGGGGCGCGATTGCTTAAAGCTTTGCAAATCCCCCAAACATGTATCCCAGTACATGTCGAATGCACTTGAGACAAGAGCGTTTGCTTTCACGGTGAGCCGACGTCATTTGATACTTCTTGCACGATGTACCCCCTAAAGACTTCTAAAAACTGCATAATGAGGGCAGGCCTTGTTGCAAAACTTATGAAGCCTTTTCACAATTATGGCCCACCAAATGGTGTCCACCACGTCTTAAAACCCACGGTGCAGCCCATGTGCAGCTTCCTGCAAGCAGGCTTACCGTATCGAAGCCATAACGCCCAGTGGCAGTGGAAAATATTAGCAGCAGTCGCAACCATGGCAAACTGTTGGATAATTGCTGCCTCAATAATGACCTACTATTCTTCAGGGCTCCTTGCTACAAGTATACTATAAGGTATCCCAAAACCCTATTCCAATTATTAAGGCTCCTACATGACTCGCGAAGGTAGATATCAGAAGCACTTGCTATTACAAGGGCATCTCGTGAGGATCGGATCAGCTGCAGACCCTAATCTTCAAGATCTTTATGAGCGTTTAGGGTTTATTTTTCTAGGGTTTAGGGTCTATTTTTAGTGGGTTAAGGGTCGAGGGTTTATTTGCGTGGGTTTAGGGTTGAGGGTCTATTTTTGCGGGTTTAGTGTTTAGGGAACCCGAAAATAACTTCAAGCCATCCCACGTCCTGAGCCCCTTAGAGGGCATCAACCTCTGCTCGAAACCCAAACCCACCAACTCTAAACATGTAGTATAGGGGCCTTAACAATTAGAACAAGGCTTTGGGGCCCATAATACCGTAATTTTAATGAGGAGGCCCCATATAATTATACTAAGGAACCCCCCAACATAATTATAATAAGGAGCTCCCACAATAGTATTGGTAATTGTTAAGGCCCCTACACCTAGAAGCCCTACAGGGCCCGCATGCTCTAGAACGGTTTAGGGTTCAGGGTCGGGGCTCTCTTCCCGTTCTGGAGTACTCGTACTTTAGGGTTTAGGGTTTAGGGTTTAGGGTTCAGGGTTCAGGGTTTAGGGTTTAGGGTTTAGGGTTTAGGGTTTAGGGTTTAGGGTACCACCCATATGAAGCCCATTAAGGCCGTTAAGAACCGGTATGGAACTATTCTGCAACCCAAGGAGCATTCCTTCCCTGAGAACCCTTGTCGAACCCTTCTCAAACCCTGCTCATTCCCTCCAAATTCCGAGATCTCCCCTTATCATCCCCAAGCCCTAAACCTTAAAACCCCGAACTCCTAAACCTTAAGGCCCTAAAGCCCTGAGGCCCTAAACCCAAAACCTAAAATTCTAAACGCTAAGCCCTAAAACCCTGAAGCCCTAAAATCCTGAAGCCCTAAAGCCCTAGAGCCCTAAAGCCCTAAAACCCTAAACCCCTGAAGCCCTAAAGCCCTAAACCCCTAAAACCCCTAAGCCATAAACTCCTAAAGCCCTAAACTCCTAAAAGCCCCCCTAAAAACCCTAAACCCTACACCCTAAACCCTAAACCCTACCCTAAACCCTAAACCCTAAACCCTAAACCCTAAACCCTAAACCCTAAACCCTAAACTCCTAAACCGCATCCTTTTGCCTCAGTCGCCGGGCGCCGCGAGGAGGCCGAGGCTGGCAGAAGACGAAGCGACTCCTTGTTTTTTGGGGTTTAGGGTTTAGGGGTTTTAGGGTTTAGGGTTTAGGGGTTTTTGGGGTTTTTGGGGTTTAGGGTTTGAGGTTTAGGGTTTAGGGTTTAGGGTTCTCCATAAAAACTGGTTTTTTACACGTTTTTCATGTAAAAGCTGTTTTTGAATTCTTTGGAAAAAGACAACACACATGCTGCTTTTGACTGGGGTTTTGGGGTTTGGGGATTGGGGTTCAGGGTTTTTTGACAGGGGGTTTTGGGGGTTGAAGCTCTAGTATTTAGGGGGTTCAAGGTTTCGGGTTGTAGGGTTTAGGGTTTGGGGTTGGAGTTTTGCGGTTTAGGGTTTCGAGGTTTAGGCATTAGGGATTAGGGTTCAGGGTTTTGCTATTCTCAGTTTTCACGTGTTTTCTTGAGTCTTAGAAGGTTGTGTTTGCTTGATACTTCTTGAGTTTTGGACTTGCTTTTTCTTACCGGGTGGCATGATCGTTTTTGGTTTGCGCGGTTTGTGGTGAGGGCTATGGGTCCTTCGGCTGTTGGGTGCTTCCGGGCCTGCATTTGTTGTGTTTTCGGGTTTAGGTGCTGCTTTCATTTGGATCCTTAAGCCGTCGTGGCCCCCTAAACCCACAGAGCGAGCTGAAACTCCATTCGCAAGGTTTAGGGTTTAGGGTTTAGGGTACTGAGACCAAGGTTTGGAAGCCTCCTCCGGTCCTGCTAAAGATTCCTGGGTAGTGGTTACATCGGTCACTTGTAAAGCATGCCGGCCGTCCTTGCTAGACAGACGGTGATTCAAAGAGTTCCTTCTGAGGGGCCTCTCTTCTTTTTGGGCTCCTGTTGAACCCAGAGACTCCAATATCCCTGAACTAAGGAATATACCTTAAATCGTATTACGGATCCCACAATAATTTAAGGTATATTCCTTAATTAAGGGATATTGGAGTCTCTGGGAATTGATCCTGTGGGTGAAAGATTCAGGTCTCGGGTGCGCCACGGAAAGCCCCTGTTTGATCCCTATAGAAAGCATTTGTATATGCTTATATACACATACAGATAGGATGAATAAAGTAGACGTCTATATATATATATATATACATACACATATGCGTATGATAAGTAAGCAAATCCATCAGTCAACCAATAAGCAGACAGTTAGGTAAATGGATAGACAGATGAGTAAATAGATAGATAGATGAATAAATACATGCATCAGTACATGAACGCACGAATGAACAAATATTTAGATAAACAGGCGCATACACTGTTTGTTTATATACACATATCTATATGTATGTATGTATGTATGTATGTATGTATGTATGTATGTATGTATGTATGTATGTATACAGATGTTTATGTATGTAGACCAGAATAATGCAATGCAATACACTAAAATAAATTAGAGTTCAGAGAACAAATATAATATTATACAAGTTATATATATATATATAATATATATATCTTAAACCATAACAGCTTCTCATACAAATTAACACAACTAAAGCCTATAAGAAGCCTGAAGCCTTGCAAATCCAATAATCCCATACAAAAAGTTTATGAAACCGGCACAAAAAGCACGGTAGTACGAGCTTTGCGCGCCCCGATATACAAAGCCCAACAACGCATTGTAAAAATGTTTCAAAGCCCGATAAACCCTAACTCCAAAGAAGACACCAATAAGAGAGGTTTAGGGTTTAGGGTTTAGGGTTTAGGGTCTAGGGTGTAGGGTTTGGGGTTTAGGGTTTAGGGTTTAGGGTAACAGAGGCAATGATCCAGACCGAGGGAGGTCCGAGCTTGGCCCAGATGCAGCGGGAGCCTCTCGCGCTGTTGAGGCCTAGCCAAGGGCTTTAGGGTTTAGGGTTTAGGGTTTAGGGTTCGGGGTTTAGGGTATTTAGGGTTTTGGGTTGCAGGTTAGGGTTTTGGGGTGTGGGGTTTAGGGTTTTCAGCAAAGTGAAGGATGTCTAAAGGGGCTCTGTTGCAAGATCGTGTGCGTGGAAGTCTCTCGGAGCTGTGATTCCAGGGTTTTGGGGTCGTTGTATATAGACTCTTACTTACCAATCCATCAATCAATCAATCTGTATCTATCCGCTTATGTACCTATCCATCTATCTATCTATCTATCTATCTATCTATCTGTCTACGTATCTATCTATCTGTCTGTCTATCTGTCTATCTATCTATTTCTCTATGTATCTATTTATCTGTCGTGGGATGGGTGGATGACGATGGAAGACGAATGCACTATATGCTGCCTACACAGGTATATGTCTGCGTCTTGCTACATGTATATAAGTACTTTCATGATTATGTACACACGCATGCATACGTACATGTGTGCATGTATGCATCTATGTAGGTATGCATGTATGTATGTATGTATGTATGTATGTATGTAGGTATTTGTATATCTGTATATATATATAAATATACATATGTGTATATATATATATATGTACATATCTTGCAGATGCGCCATATTTCGCTATGGTTTCTCGTTTGACAGGGTTTTCCATGTAGGCGCTGGTATTTCTGTTAGATAAGGTCTACCTATGAGATCTGGGTTTGCCCATCACACAATGATTTAGGAAGTTCTCCTGTTCATTGCATATATGTACTTACGTATGTTCGTACATTTCTGTCTTTGAGTGTTTGTGGGTTGGTATATATGTATGTCTCTGTTTGTGTACACATATGTTCGCATACTTGTACGTTTATATGTACATATACTTGTATGTATGTATGTATGTATGTATGTATGCATGCATGTATGCATGCATGTCTGTATGTATGTATGTATTTATGTATGTATGTATGTATGGATGTACGTATGTACGTATGTACGTATGTACGTACGTATGTATGTATGTATGTATGTATGTATGTATGTATGTATGTACATATGATGTACGTATGTACATATGTCGATGCATATGCAGATGTAGACACGTGTGATACATGCATACAAAAGTTCATACATCCGCGATTGCGCACATACGCGCATTGCATGGGTGGGTGCATGCATGCACGCATACACGCTCACACGGATGCATACATGTAATAGTATTGCAAGCATACGTGCATGCATACCTGCTAACACACACACACATATTTGCATACATGAGTGTCTCCAAGAATTGGATGCGTGCGAACCTGCATGAATGCACACACATTTATGCGTACATTTTGAGGCCTACACACACACATCGCGATATAACAGAGTGTCACAGAAAGGCAGAGCGTGCTACAACATCATGTGATTTGTGCAGCGTAGCATTCCCGCACAGTAGACTGAGCTGCAACACAAGGTCTAAGGCCTGAGGCGAGCAAATGGAAAACATTGCAAGGATACATGATATAGTTTGAGCATCCATGTAGCCACGTGACTGTCTGTCAGCATCGGGGTCCGCAGGAAGCATCCCAGCATGGACCCAAATTGGATCGATAGCAGCTACCACAACTGCTCGCTTCTGCAGTGGGCTTGCTGCATGGGTGTGGGGCCTCAGGAAACAAACGGGCCTGAATAGTTTCCACTACTCTTACTTAGGACTCCTCGTAGAAAGGCTACTTGTAGTAGAATGGACCATGATGTGCCCCTTTACTCTATTGAATAGGATCTTTTGGTAAGATAGGGACCTGAATACTTTAATAGGGCCCATTCTAACCCTAAACCCTAAACCCTAAAACCCTAAAACCCTAAAACCCTAAACCCCACGATCAGTTCAGGCTTGGAGTCCTAAGTGCTTTGCCTTCCCAGGATTTCGACTTCTGCCGTGGTAAACTGGTACGGTTTGGGGTTTACGGTCTAGGGTTTAGGGCTTGTGATTTGGTGTTTCGGGTTTCGGGGAGGGGGAGGATGTGTCAATTTGAAGATTCTTGGGGAGAAGAACTCACATCGAGGGACCGGGGGCACTCATAGTGATATGACTATTGGATGATGTGATCACCTTCTAGTCTCCATGCAAACGTACAATAGTAGATCACGAGAGAGTCAACAGGTTGTAGAGGGTAGCACCATTCGTTGTATTTGCATCCGTCAGGCCATGACTTAAGACTCCTCTGACCCTGCAAGATTTTCCATAGGGCCTTAACCTGACAATACCGCTCCTTAGACTTACTGATCATAAGCGAACCCCCATCTATTACATCGTGAGTGCACCTTTATGAACGGTATAGCTTTTGCAGAGCATGCGGCCCATGTCAATCCTAAGGCACTCACCCTGATCCTTGCAAGAAGGGTTGCTTAATCGAAAAGGTACCGCAAGGGTCTGATATTTTTTGCAGTTTCTCTGGTCTTCCTATAAAGCCGAGTTGCGCAAAGCTAAAGCCTAAAAAACTTAAATCCCGAATTCGGCAACAATAAACCTAACCCCCGAATATCAAGAAAGTTGGGTCCCAGCCCTCCTCAGCCGGTTTAGGGTTTACGGTTTAGGGTTTAGGGTCCGAAAATCCCGAATGCATGCTTTAGAACCCCAGCAAAACCGTGCAACAACCCTGGTCAAACCTTAATATCATCCCTATGACCAGCCTTACAAACACCATAGGTATCCTTGTAGTGGCCCTTATAGCAACCGCTATAGAACCTTTTGGTAAGCCTCCAGCAACTCCAAAAAGTTACCCGTCTGCAAACCTTCTTGTAACCCTGATGTATACCCTTGTGGTTACTCTTAGTCTCGAGGTGGCCCTTAGAGCAAGCCGGTAGGAGCCGCCGGCCCTCATGCTGTAGCAAGGCTATGAGGAGGTGGCCAAAGAGCTACTGGCGCGCGGGGCCAACCCCAGCCATGTGCCCTCGCCGACATAATCGTTTTATGATTGCGATGTTTAGTTCAGGGTTAGGGTTGAGCGTTTAGTGTTTGTGGCTTAAGGTCCTTATGGGTTTACGGGACTTTTTCGTGTTTTCTTATAATACGAGCTTTAGGGTTTATGGTCTAGGCTATGGTGCAGGGGGTGTATGGTCTATGGCTTTCAACAGCCCTAACTAAGCCTTACCCACTACCTAAAGTCTCCATTGTAGTTCCCCTTTTCGTTTAACAGGTTTTCTATTTAGGACCCAGAAAAGGAACGACAATGAAGGATATCGGTAGAAGCCTAAGTCCTAAACTCGAGAGTGGACGCCTGGAAATCATGAAGGAAGAGTCGCCTGAACAAGTACTATCACCATGTGTTAGAGTTCCGTAGCTTAACTGTAGTAGAACATATGGCAAACCCAGTTCTAGGTATACTACTGGCCCCTTGAAAATGCACACACACACACACAGACAAAAACCACACACCCATCAAGTCCATCTTCTGAAGTTCGCCCCTGACCCTAAACCAAACAGAAAGGTTGGGTACTGCTCCCGCTCAGTAACAGTTGGATAATATTTATGTTATGGTTATTTTAGGCCCTCAATAGTAGCCCGATTATAGACTGTTACTGTATGGGGGCAGTACGCTACAGAAAGGTGTGCAGCGGGGCACATTTTGTGCAACTCATGATCCGGCTGTGCTCCTGAAGCCTGCTTCAACTCCTCTTGCCATCGTGAGTCCTTGCCTCTTTTCTGCGCCGCTTGCGAAGGCTGGTCGACCGAGAAGAAAACCGCCACAAATGTGACCGTTTACCGTTTACACACTAGACGGAATCAAGAAGGCGTCCCTTGCGCGCATGCGCTGCACCAGTGTCTCTTGAATTGGACAGCAGAAATGCCATCCCCTGCAACCAGACAAGTGTGACTACGTCTTCGTGACGACTGCGTTCAAGGTGTCCTTCCTCCGATTTCATGACGCCTTGGATTGTCGAGGCTGTCCAAAGCACCCGACTCATCGGCGGAGCCCAGCGTGAATGCATGTGAGATCTTCAACATGTCCATGCTCGCTTCCGCTTCCGATAGACTTGTCTGGTTGGTTATCGATGAATCGGTGGAGATGTGAACGGATCTCGCAAATTTCCGGGTTGATCCTCCGCTGTCACACACATGTTGTCCGAGAGTGGCAGTTGGTGGCATGCTGAAACTGTCACCGACATGGTGCCGGGGAAGAACTGCGACTTGCTGCAATTATGCCCCTCCGGTTCAGGGTGGGCTTCTACGAGGCGAAGGGTTGGTCAAGCTGTCCAACACGTGCGGGCCCGAGAATAAAGCTTCCGCTATCAACACTTTGCTCGGGGTCTAACAGCACGAAGACATGTTGAGTGCTGCATCCAAAAAGGAGGAGCTGTCGGGTTTCAAACATTTGGTGCTTCGACAGGCTTCACGACACGGGGCTGCGATGGATGTCCATGCCCCCCAATTATCATCCACGACTGAGGAAAAGGATCGCAAGTGATACCAGCATCTTTTTTTCGTCCCGACTTCTTTGAATGCCGAATCGCCCTCGACCCACCGCCCCCCGAAGGCCATGAAGGTCATGAGCAATCCTCCAACACCTTGCTGTTGTCCGTCTGATCTCGAGTTGACTCCACGGCAGTTTACGGCTTGAGGATGAGCCAAGGTGCTCCGGTTTCTTTAGGGTTTAGGGGTTTAGGGTTTAGGGTTTAGGGTTTAGGGGTTTAGGGTTTAGGGTTTAGAGATTTCTGTTTCGAAAGCTCTCGATATTTGCGAATCTGTTGATGCTTGCTCGCTCACATCCCTCGCTGCGTGGGATCTGACTGTGTCGGTATGTGTGCGATACTTGAGTCAGTAATCCCTTTCACAAATCGTTGAAAAGTCGCCGGGAGGATCTGGAAGCCACGGAAGGTACAATTGTACACATGGGGAAAAAGAGAGAAATCAACATCGCTGAAAGGGCAGCGCGGGGAAGGGCGCATGAAATGGTTTCGGGTCGGCAAGACACGGGGCACCGTCGAGACTGTTTGCGGCGCGGGCTCGAATACTCCGGCAGCTTCCTGCAAGACAGCTCCAATCGTGAATCAATGCAAGAGGCTTTACGCATCAGTTAAGGACGCCAACGATGGCTGGGGCCAGCCTCTGAACACCGGGCAAACCGTTTCGGTGACACACGCAGCATGCACAGGATAAACACAGCCACCCCGTCGATATCTTTTGCAAAAAACCAGTCACGGTTCCTTGTGCTAGGGTTCTGTGCCAAGGGTTTGGAAGAAGGCCGGATTGTTTAGACTCTTGAAGATGTACCGCAAGTTTTCTTGTCAAATGCCGGATCGTGGATGCGGACGGTGGGATCGGGACGTTTCAGGGACTGTGATTCGGAGGGTTGCAAAATCAACATGGACGATGTGTCGACATGCCGCTAGCTTTGTGAAGGTATTCCAACAGACTGAGCCGAATGAGCGGAAAATGTCAACCATGTTTCCAGCTGATATCCCTAAAGCTGTTACATCGCGATGTTTTCGTCACATGTGTTTCAGCAAACTGATATTTAAAGGTATTTGCGTATGACATGTTTGTGTATGTTGGTAGCGATAAGAGTGCACCCTGTGACATGGAGTTACGTGGTTACTGTTGCCATACACTAGCTATTCGGTGAAAAGACGACAAACGTTGCGGTGTTTATAATGTTGTGGGATCATCCGGGAGGGTGGGTGTTATTTCTCGATAGACCAACACCGCTGGCCTAGTGTTTTCTTTTAGCCGACCTAATCGTAAGCCTTAAGACCCCCTAAACCCTAAACCCTAAACCCTAAACTCTAAACTCCTAAACCCTAAACTCCTAAACCCTTAACCCTAAACCCCTAAATTTAAACCCTAAACTCCTAAACCCTAAGCTCCTAAATCCTAAGCTCCAAACCCTGGCTGAGAACCCAGGGTCATCAGGAG